CTAGACAGTGTAACCTCACAGCTCTTAACAGTTCTAAGGAAAGGGATGCTTACTCAGGATGTCCAGCATGATAAGCTTGTTGAGTTTTGTGTAACTATAGCTGAACATAATCTTGATTTTGCCATGAATCACATGATACTAGAATTGCTCAAACAAGACAGCCTTAGTGAAGCAAAGGTTATTGGTCTTCGTGCTTTGCTTGCCATTGTCATGCTGCCTTCTGGTCAGCACGTGGGTTTGGATATTTTTAAAGGTAAAACCAGTGATTAGCATATGGTAATAATGAACAGCTAGATTTGATGAACATGGTTATGTTTAGATCTAAATCCTAAAACTCCGGTTTTTTGACCTAGCAGGTCATGATATTGGCCACTACATTCCAAAAGTGAAAGCTGCCATTGAGTCAATACTGAGGTCATGTCATAGAACATACAGTCAAGCACTGTTGACATCTTCAAAGACCACAATAGGTAATTTCTTGGAATATATGGCAGCCAGCCAAATGTACTGCAATATTTTCTATTTGTTCTATTATATTAAATAATAAATGTATATGGCAAGGAAAAGAAGAGTAGAAGTGAGAGAGAGAGAACGGATTGATAGAACCAGAATTTCATTCACAAATTGAATCAACTGCTCCCTTTCATTATACAACAGTTATTTAAGGAGTCGTTCGTTAGATTCCTAACTAGCCTTAGTTGCAACAGCTTGACCTGCTTGAACTAACTTCCTAACCACTTCCATTACACCAATCAATGTGCATGGGAAAATTAGTATGTAAATGTGAGAATGGTATTTATCTTATCCTTTTTTTGTATTTTGTAACACTGTCGAAGTCCCATATTAGCTGTATCTTGAGCTAAACAACTTTTTCTCTGTATAAATATTTGCAACACGAGCTTCCCTTGTCATGCTATCAAAGCACATAGGGAGAGAAGAATAGGCATTCGTAGTAGTGTGGTTTCAGGGATATAGCTTTTCCCTCTTGGGGAGCTCTGATGACTTTTCCAGTAGAACTTGGCATTTGATCTATTTGGTCAACTTTTCTAACAATCATTTGGTGTCTTTTCTAGCAGAATTTAGACAACTTTTCTTGCGGTCCTCAAACTACTCTTTACTCTGGGCATTGCATCAGCAATGCCTTTCTCCAGCTACTCTGGTATTAATGTTATGAATCACTTTTGCTATTCTTGGAAGTGCTGTTAAATCAAGGGTCATACAACCTACTTCTACAAAACTTGCTGCATGTGATTTACATGCTCCATCTTGGAAGGGCGTTAGAAAAGCATCCGTTAATCCATATTTTTATATAGCTATGCTATAGAAGCTCCCAGTTGGTTGTGTATCCCAAATTAAACAACCTATACTTAAATATATGTACTACAAGCCTCCTTTTGTCATGGCTTTCGAAAGCATTCTCTCTCTCTCTTACTCTTCTACATAGCATAGATAAATGGAGACCGTAAAGTAGAAAATTTAGATATGGAATGTGAGAATTGAGAAAATTTGGGAAAGATGGTAGCAAGAGGAGCGGTCCAAAATATAAATAATATTTTTGACACTTTTGGTGTTAAAATCATGACTTTCTAGATGCAGCCATTTAAAGGGTACAAAGCCTATCCTATTTTTATTGTATTTTCTTTTTAACTTGTCATTTGAACTATTGAAATATAACATCCATATATGTGATTAGTCTATTCCTTTTTTCTGTAATTATTTTCTCGTCTATATCAATTATCTTAATTTGTATAATGATCCAATTTCCCCACTTAGCGGGGTAAAGATTTTGTTGTTGTATAATGATCCAATTTCTGATTTTTTAAACTAGCCATAATGACGATCCTTGGAAGAATTTTCAAATTTTCATATTTCTATGGAAATTCTGACCGCATCGATGCCTTTTTGTCCTCTATATTTTGTAGATGCTGTAACCAAGGAAAGGTCACAAGGGTATCTATTCCGTTCTGTGTTAAAGTGCATCCCATATCTAATAGAAGAAGTTGGACGAAGTGATAAAATCACTGAAATAATTCCCCAACATGGCATAAGCATTGACCCTGGTGTTCGTGAGGAAGCAGTACAAGTACTAAATCGTATTGTGAAATACCTACCCCATCGTCGTTTTGCAGTAATGAAAGGAATGGCCAACTTTATATTACGACTTCCAGATGAGTTCCCTCTTCTCATTCAAACATCACTAGGACGTCTACTGGAACTAATGCGCTTTTGGAGATCCTGTCTAATAGATGATAGAATGCAATATGATGCTCAAGATGCAAGACCTTTGGGGCATGAAGCTGAGAGATTTAGAAAGTCTTCCTTCCAACAAATGGGAGAAGCAATCGAATTTCGTGCATCAGAAATTGATGCAGTTGGTCTAATTTTCCTTGCATCTGTTGATAGTCAAATCAGGCATACAGCATTAGAATTATTGCGATGTGTCCGGGCCTTGAGAAATGATATTAGGGACCTGAGGATTGAGCAACCAAATCATCTTCTGAAATATGAAGCTGAACCAATATTTATTATTGATGTTCTAGAAGAACATGGGGTATTAATATTTGTTACTTATTTTATTTTATTTGAAATTTAGTTATGGCATTTTTTATTTTTATTTTTTAGTTACAGTTTTAAATATCTTAGTGGTGCTGCAGGATGAGATTGTCCAGAACTGCTACTGGGACTCAGGGCGACCTTTTGATTTGAGAAGAGAATCTGATGCCATTCCTCCTGAAATGACACTTCAATCTATAATATTTGAGAGCCCTGATAAGAACAGGTGGGCTCGGTGTCTTAGTGAGCTTGTCAAATATGCTGCCGAGCTTTGTCCAAGCTCTGTCCAGGAAGCAAAGTATGTACACGCATCTTTTCCCTAAATTTTCGCCTCCTTTCCTGAATTTCATACTTTGTATCACGAGATACTTTAAGAATCAGCAAAGAGAGCAAAAGGGGGTTGGTCTTCTGCTTAAACTGCCAAGAAAAGGGAAGAAAACGTCATTTTATCATGCTGATTGATATAGTCCCATTACATTGGTCAAATCGCTTTATATAAGTGATAGAATCCCTAATCATTAACAGATCTCCTGCCCCCAAATAGCCTGTTAACTTGAAAAAGGACACGAGGAAAAAAGTTAAATTGAAAACAAAGGTGCTAACCAACGCACACAACTTCAGTCTGAGTAGCATGTCCGCTGCCATAGTGCAGACAGTAATCCAGTCACCCTTTTGGTTTCCGTAGTTGCTCCTGCATCATGATTCAGCTTTCATTAAAATGACTTGTAATGAAACATGATGGGTAAATGTGTTAATTTTTGGATAGATCTAGTGTAAATGTTTCCTCTCTATTTCATGGATGGTTATGTTTGGTTTACTCTCTTAATCTGACAAGAAAACAATTTTTGCCAGTAATTATCTTGCCAACTATTTTCTTCTTTTTTTTGGGGGGGGGGGTGTTGTGTGTGATAAACTTGTAATGCTTATCCTGCTTCCTTCAGTTAATCTATACCCTGATCCACTTCCCACATAAACATTGCAAGATGATGTAGTATGACTTTGGCTCTGGCAGGGTAGAGGTTATGCAACGCCTTGCTCATATTACCCCAGTTGAGTTGGGTGGGAAGGCTCATCCATCACAGGATGCTGATAATAAACTGGACCAGTGGCTCATGTATGCCATGTTTGTCTGTTCATGTCCACCAGCTGCTCGAGAATCTGGTGGAACTTTAGTAACCAAAGAACTCTGCCATCTTATTTTCCCTTCATTGAAATCTGGATCTGATGCACATGTTGTGAGTACTCCTCAAGAAACTTTGTCCATTTTGTAAAACCTATCTTCACATGAATACTGGCAGGCATACTTCAGGACAATTTGTCTTAATATTTATTCCCATGCTGTTAACATCTAACTTTTATGGAATTTATTATTGATTGATATAGTGATTGCTGGAATTCACAAATGGATTAGTCCCATTAACATGTTTAAACTCCTTCCTGTCCTTCTCTTTCATAATTAAACCCCAATAATTGAATTTTTTTTTTCGTGCTAGAGTTCATCCTGTAACTTATTTTCTATTGAAGAAGAAGTGGATAGTTCAATTTTACTTTCCTAGACTATTAGTTTGCTATGCTGATTTCCCCCTTAATATGTTTTCTGTGGTTGTAATTAGGGTGTCACTATAGGTGATATCTGTGCATGTTTACTACGAAGTTTTATTATTTATTCTATTCCACAAGAAGCTGCATGGGTCTTTGTTTATATAAAGGAAAATATGACGGGAAAACACTGCTTGTATTTCACTCTAGAAGAAAATTCTTACAGCATTATGTACAATGTTTGTTTATGTGGGAAAGCTATTGATTTTACACAATGAAAAATAATTACTCGCAATGGCAAGGAATTCATATTCAAATCTCCAGGATGATGAAATTGGTACTAATCCCAAGATCCCAGCAATGTACATGGTTAAATAGGGCTCATATGTTGAATAGTTGATATGATGTTAGGAACTGATTTTTTATTTTCTTGGGTAAATGATAGTTAACTGAAAATATGAGGTTTTACATTAAAAGGGCAGTGGAAGGATTAATGGGTATTAGACTTGCTACGGTTTTAAATTTTTAATGTTATAAGGGCATCTTCTTCTTCTTCTTCTTCTTTTGTGGGTTTTCATTATCCATCCTCTTTGGTGTCTATTTTTTGCTAAGGAGGTTTTGATATTAGCATGCAGCCACCATGGCTCTTGGCCACTCGCACCTGGAAGCATGTGAAATCATGTTTGCTGAACTTACATCTTTTATTGAAGAGGTTTCTTCAGAGACAGAAGGAAAACCCAAGTGGAAGGTATTGCTTATGAGGTTATAGAATTCATTTTAATTAGTTTAACAACATTTTCAACATCATTGAGGTCCATTTTTTCTTGAATGAGCTACATAATTCGTACGTATCTGAGGCCAAGAAAAATCATGTTAAATCTAGTATTCCCTTCATTCTCTAATTAATGCCAGTAAGCATAATGGTAAAAGTGGAAAATACCTGACTCTCATTTGTGAAACTTGAAGAAAATTTTAGTTTATAAGTGGGTTTTTTAATGTTCTTTCCAATCATTTTTAATCTTCCCATTGTCTGTTTAAAAGTAAATCTGCTTTGATCTCTATTTTTGAAGATTCCATTCATGTATCAGTTCTACTTTTTCCTGAATATAATTTTACAGCTGAGACCTAAAAACACTAGTTCTATTTTTGAAAGTTCAGTTTACTGTTGAGACCTGAGAACTAAATTTTTAGCGCAGGAAAAATAAGCACTGGATTTTTAAAGTTATGAAATATTTTCAGTTTATGCCTCGAATATGTTATAGGAAACTATTAGCACTTACTAATTCTTATTTAAAAAAAAAAAAAAAGCTGTTCGTTGACAACCCCCCATATGCATTGGTTTTTTGTATTTGCTTACATTCAGTTTTGGTTGACAGTAACAATCACCAGAAAAACATTTTCAGTGTTAAATTGGTTTTCAAACTGGTCCATATTTGTGAGAGTTTTATTCTTTGTGCCTGCCTGAAAACCTTTCCTATTTTTAGCATGGGATAGGTTTGGAGTTGGTATATTTCAAGTTATGCAGGGTTTTTTCAGGCAGAGTAGGTGCCAATTCTCTTGTCATCCAAAAGCCTGGTCCATGAAGCTTATGATAGAATGTTAGAGATGATGATAATATATGAGAAAGGAAAAAACAATTAAAAAAAGCACTTGCAGAACCTTGAAATTTAAATACAATAACATTGTTATAGTTCCTTGGTTCAAATTAAATTAATGGAGGTGAAACAAGTAAAACTGGTTTTATTGCTAATTTGATTACTTCTCAGAATTTTGAATCATGGTTTGACATGTATAAGATATATTTTATGAAATGCAGAGTCAAAAGTCTCGCCGTGAAGAACTCCGTATCCACATTGCAAACATATACCGTACTGTTGCTGAAAACATATGGCCAGGCATGCTTGCCCGCAAGCCAATTTTCCGTCTCCATTATCTTAAATTCATTGATGAAACAGCTAGACTGTTCTCAACAGCCCCTCCGGAGAATTTTCAAGATATGCAGCCCCTCCGCTATGCACTTGCTTGTGTTCTAAGATCATTAGCCCCAGAGCTTGTTGATTCAAAATCAGAAAAATTTGACGTTAGAACTAGAAAGAGACTATTTGATCTTCTACTCTCCTGGTCCGATGATACAGGCAGCACCTGGGGTCAAGACAGTGTTAGTGATTATCGACGTGAGGTTGATAGATACAAGTCTTCTCAACATGCCCGCTCAAAAGATTCAGTGGACAAAATATCATTTGACAAAGAATTGAATGAACAGGTTGAGGCTATCCAGTGGGCATCCATGAATGCGATAGCATCACTTTTATATGGACCATGCTTTGATGACAATGCAAGGAAAATGAGTGGTCGTGTGATATCTTGGATTAATAGTTTGTTCATAGAGCCTGCCCCCAGGGCTCCCTTTGGTTACTCACCTGCTGATCCACGAACTCCATCATATTCATACTCCAAACACATGGGAGATGGTGGCCGTGGAACTGCTGGTCGTGATAGGCATAGGGGTGGCCATCATCGTGTTTCTTTGGCGAAATTGGCTTTGAAGAATCTTTTGCTCACAAATCTGGATCTTTTTCCTGCTTGCATTGATCAGGTACTGTGTTATGCTTCTCATTCGGGTGCTGTTTGATTGACTAGGTGTAGATTATAAAGCTGTAAAGTATAATCACTATTCAACAGCCACTGCATGAGTATTTTTCAATTACTACTCTGTTCAGAGGTATGGTACGACAAAAATAGTTCATCAGGAAAAGTCAGAGCGCTTAATGATGATGCATGATTCGTACAAATGACTACATGGAGACATTAGCAATTGAGGAGACAATAAAGTACTTGTCCAAACTCCCCTCTCCAGGATGTGCAGTCAAAATTAAAGAAATGAAGAAGATAAAGAAAAACAAATTATAATTTAAGAAATATTCAGCGGACAGAAATGCATCCGAAGAATGTAATTTACAGTCGTGTGAGATGAGACTTTACAGGCTTCAGCTAAAATGATGCACTTCGACTGTTTTCCTACAGTTGTTTTTAAGGACTTTACAGGTTTATGCTGATGGCTTGATTTTCAGATCATTCTTCCTATGCATCACCTGTTTTTTTTTTTGGCCTGAGTTCTTCCATGTATTATCTATATCTCTTTTTTTGTAAGAAAATCTGGCTCGTGACATCATGCCATCAACATAAAAGCCTATGTAACTTCATTTTTTTCATGCAGTGCTATTACTCCGATTCTGCTATAGCTGATGGCTACTTCAGTGTTCTAGCTGAGGTATATATGCGCCAAGAGATACCAAATTGTGAGATACAGAGACTCTTGAGCCTGATCCTTTACAAGGTGGTGGATCCATCAAGACAGATCCGTGATGATGCCCTTCAGATGCTGGAGACTCTCTCTGTTCGTGAATGGGCTGATGATGTTATTGAGGGCTCAGGAAGTTATCGTGCTGCTGTTGTTGGTAACCTTCCTGACTCCTACCAACAATTCCAATACAAGCTTTCCTGCAAACTTGCCAAAGATCATCCTGAACTCAGCCAGCTTCTTTGTGAGGAGATCATGCAGAGGCAATTAGATGCAGTGGATATAATTGCTCAGCATCAGGTCTTAACTTGCATGGCTCCATGGATAGAGAACCTTAACTTCTGGAAACTCAAGGAAGGCTGGAGTGAAAGACTATTGAAAAGTCTTTACTATGTGACTTGGAGGCATGGAGACCAGTTCCCTGATGAAATTGAGAAATTATGGAGTACCATTGCTAGCAAAAACAGGAACATTAGTCCTGTTCTGGATTTCTTAATCACAAAAGGCATTGAAGATTGTGATTCAAATGCATCAACTGAAATAAGTGGTGCATTTGCCACATATTTCTCTGTTGCAAAGCGAGTAAGTCTATATTTAGCTCGAATATGTCCTCAGCGCACTATAGATCACCTAGTTTTCCAATTATCTCAGCGGCTGCTAGAGGATAGCATTGAGCCAATTGGGCCAAGTGCAAGTAAGGGTGATGCTACTGCAAACTTCGTGTTAGAGTTTTCACAGGGTCCTGCCATGGCTCAGATGGCATCTGTTGTGGATAACCAGCCACATATGTCCCCTTTGCTTGTGAGAGGTTCTCTTGATGGTCCACTTAGGAATGTAAGTGGCAGCTTAAGCTGGAGAACAGCTGGGATGACTGGACGGAGTGTTTCGGGTCCACTAAGTCCAATGCCTCCAGAGTTGAACGTCGTGCCAGTAAATACAGGGCGATCTGGTCAGCTCCTTCCATCGCTGGTTAACATGTCTGGACCCTTGATGGGTGTCAAAAGTTCAGCAGGGAGCTTAAGGAGCCGCCATGTTTCACGGGACAGTGGAGATTACCTTGTTGACACACCAAACTCAGGTGAAGATGGATTGCATGGTGGGGGTGCCATGCATGGTGTGAATGCAAAGGAACTTCAATCGGCCTTGCAGGGTCATCAGCAGCATTCCCTGACACATGCAGATATAGCTCTGATTCTACTTGCTGAAATTGCATATGAGAATGATGAAGACTTCCGGCAATACTTGCCTCTACTCTTTCATGTCATATTTGTTTCTATGGATAGCTCAGAAGACATAGTATTAGAACACTGCCAGCATTTGCTTGTTAATTTGTTATATTCACTTGCTGGCCGTCACTTGGAACAGTATGAGGTGGAAAATAGTGAGAGGGAGAACAAGCAGCAGGTTGTAAGCTTGATTAAATATGTACAATCAAAGCGGGGAAGCATGATGTGGGAGAATGAGGATCCCACAGTTGTAAGAACTGAGCTACCAAGTGCTGCTCTTCTTTCTGCTTTAGTTCAGAGCATGGTGGATGCTATCTTCTTCCAAGGGGACCTTCGGGAAACTTGGGGGGAAGAAGCTTTGAGATGGGCTATGGAGTGCACATCAAGACACCTTGCCTGCCGTTCCCACCAGATCTACCGAGCCCTTCGACCTAGTGTAACAAGTGATGCTTGTGTATCACTTCTTCGGTGCCTTCATAGGTGTCTAGGAAACCCAGTGCCTCAAGTATTGGGATTTATTATGGAAATTCTAATGACATTGCAAGTTATGGTGGAGAATATGGAGCCAGAAAAGGTGATACTGTATCCTCAGCTATTTTGGGGATGTGTTGCTATGATGCATACAGATTTTGTGCATGTCTACCGCCAGGTTCTTGAGCTTTTCTCTCATGTGATTGACCGGCTATCATTTCGTGAGCGAACAACAGAAAATGTGCTCCTTTCAAGCATGCCTCGTGATGAACTTGATAATAGTGATCTGGGAGAATTTCAACGTACAGAATCCAGAAGTGGCTTTGAACTTCTGCAAGAAGGGCATCTGCCACCATTTGAAGGAGTGCAGCCTCTTGTTCTTAAAGGACTTATGTCCACTGTCAGTCATAGTGTTTCCGTTGATGTCCTTTCACGTATTACCGTGCATTCATGTGACTCTATATTTGGGGATGCTGAGACAAGACTCCTGATGCACATTATTGGATTACTCCCTTGGCTCTGCCTTCAGCTCAGTAAAGATCCAGTGATAGGTCCAGCTTCACCTCTCCAACATCAATATCAAAAAGCATGCTCTGTTGCAACCAATATTGCAATTTGGTGCCGAGCAAAATCGTTGGATGAATTGGCCACAGTGTTTGTGGCTTACTCCCGAGGTGAGATCAAGAGCATAGATAATTTCCTGGCGTGTGTTTCCCCACTACTGTGCAATGAGTGGTTCCCAAAACATTCAGCTTTGGCTTTTGGGCACTTGTTGAGACTACTGGAAAAGGGGCCAGTTGAGTATCAACGGGTCATTCTGCTCATGCTCAAAGCTCTCCTTCAGCATACTCCAATGGATGCTGCGCAAAGTCCACATATGTACGCAATTGTATCTCAGTTGGTGGAAAGCACGTTGTGTTGGGAAGCACTAAGTGTCTTAGAAGCCCTTCTACAGAGTTGCAGTTCATTGACTGGTTCTCATTCACACGATGCTGTGTCATTTGAGAATGGTATCAGTGGACCTGACGAAAAGTCGCTTGCTTCCCAGACCTCATTTAAGGTCCGCAGTGGCCCTTTGCAATATGGGATGGGATCAGGATTTGGAGCAGTTTCTGCGCCAACACAGGGTGGGATAACCGAGTCTGGGACCTCACCAAGAGAGATGGCTCTGCAGAATACTCGCCTGATTCTTGGTCGGGTACTTAATAACTGTGCTCTAGGTAGGAGAAAGGACCAGAAGAAATTGGTGCCTTTCGTGGCCAATGTAGGGAACCCATGAATGCAAAATTTCATGATTTTGTGTATATATTGTTGAAAGATGCAGTAGGATTGTTTTAGGAGAGTTTGAAGCTGTACATAGGATTTTAAAGACAGTAGTATCACAGTTTTGTAGCACGCGTAGTCGCACAGACAATATGCTCTCCATGATTCAAATGTCATGTATAATTTAAGCTAATTTAGATTGCTCCACTGTTCTCCTTGTGTTATATGTGGCTAACCATATTGGTGTAGCTGCTGTATGTCATGTTCTGTAACTTTCGCTGTTCTTGCGTCTTGGGTTTCTCTCACCTCCAAGTTGGAGGAGGTACACGAGGGAGATCGCTGATGCTTGAACTCTGAACTGCTATAGAATAGAAAGATTCTTTAACAGGCTACTCAGAAGAGCCGAGACATTGTTTGATATCCCTAATGATGTAACCCGTGTATGCTGTTTAAACTCAGATTTGATTAGATTATCGAATAATCATTTGTTGTAATTATGTTGAGATAATAAAAATAAGAGCGGGATAAGATTAAACATCTGGAAGGGGAAAATGCCTTTGTGATCATTGAGGATGTTAGACATATTCTATAGCTTGGAATTGGAGTACAATTTTAGATGATACATACAAGTGAATCAAATAAGCAATGAATGTACCAGCCGATATGTCAAAACCGCTCACAAACTGACGTGTAAACTGTCTTTTATTGACGTTTTCTTATGCTGCACAGGGTTAGTGGATTTGAATTAGAAAACCAAGAATTGTATCCTTTTTTTTTCTTCTTTTATATGCATGGTCTTCCTTACCTTCACTAATTAAAAAAAAAAAACAGAAAAGCTTACGATTGAAAGAAGTGCCGCTAAGCTACGGCAATCACACGCTTTGACTATTCCATTATTTGATTGGCATTCATTCAATCAACCAACAATAGGACATACAAATGCCAATAAAGCCTTATATTACATTTATGAGGGAGAGAATAAACATGGAAAAAGATCAATATTCTACAAGAAAATCAGACATAAACCAGCAAAAGAAGACACTACAGAGGAAGCTACACGCATGCAAGCCTCCCCATAATTGTGAAGCAGATTTGTACACAGGCCAGCTTCTTCGTTTATTCTTTCATCAACCCCGTCAGACCTCCCAGAAAGCCCACCTCAGGCGATTGTTTTCATTCATCCGAAAGCAAGCTCCTTGCATTTACCCATACAGAGGGCTTCAGTAGGAGCAAACATAAGAGATCATTCACGGGATGTGTGATTCTTCTTTATCAAGGCATAGGCATCACTGTATATTGCCACGACGTTTGAGAAGACTGCCAAAACAATCATAAGGACAGAAAGGATTTTGTCTGTTTTTGTTGCAATATTGTACTGGTCCCTGCATTTGCAGAACAGAAGACTGGTCACGATTCACTCGTTTAGCAGCAAATTAGCAACTGAAGCACAAAATGCCCGGATGGTCATAGTTTTTGGCCCCTGTGGAATACATGATTTCACATTTTCTACAATCTTACAGGCTAATGAACAAAATTCTACGATCTTAAGTAAACTGATCCAGAATCTGATGGATAATTTTACTTAATAACTTGGAGGCATCTAGGATGATTGTTTAGCATCAAGGTATTAACATGTTCCAGATCCAACAAGGGACAAGATGACATCATTTTGGGTGTTATGGTACTTTCACATTTCTTAAGGAACCACACAACCCCCCCCCCCAAAGAAAAAAAGGTTAACTTTCATAAAATATCCATTATATCCTTTGACTTTATAAACAACTTCAAAAGCATGATATTTTCACAGCCAAAAAAAGGCATGATTTTTTACACATCAGTATCCCATACCGTATAGGATATAGCATCTAACGAAGAAGTAACAATACTAGAGGATAAAAGATAAACACCAATATAACAAATAGGTCCTTTCAAACCGCACAAAAAGTACTAGCGGAGCGCAGCAACTCACCTTAAAGTAATGGCGGCAGGAAATATGAATCCAAGACAAACTGCAGCTGTTGCACCAGTGAACTGAAAAGCATCCCAGATGCTGGGTATGAAATTTGCTCCTAGGAAGATAGATACAATAAGGGCTATAGTGATTGACGCAAATCTAAAGTTATCTTGAACCAAAGGCCTTGATGACGGAAACAGGAGACCATCTATGTTGAGCCGCAGTGGATAAAACACAACTGGAAATACAAGCATGAGATGTGCAGCATAGCTAAAACGAACAGCATCATTCAGCACAGAACCAAAAGGAATTCCAAGATTAGTATCAAAGTTGGCAAGCACATCATCGAGAGTTCCATCACCAAATAATAAAAACCCAAAGAAGCTTGTCATGAGATACACTGCAGTGCATAGACCGAGGGCAGACCGTACAACTCCTTGCATCTGTGAAGAGTCTTCAAGTTCATTGTCTATGCTGTGAACTGCAAATGAAGTGTCATAACAAGGTAAATGGCAAGAAAATGATCATTATTCATAATAACCAAAGAACAAGGGAAATGGAATCCAATTTTAAACCAAGACGTGAAAAAGCTGCCTACCATTGTAATGGCAGATATAGGCAGTGACAAGCACGGGAACTACAGTGAACAGGTTGAGAAATGACGACATATTGGTAATGACTGGGAAGAGTTTGGGCATTTCAATTCCTCCAATTATAATTTTGACAATCGAAATTCCCACAGCAATGACAAGAAAGACAACGGCCAGTCCAACTGACAGGGCTGATGTGAATCTCAAAGAATCTGCAAACAGACAACAGGCATTTTAGACCTCCATTCATTCATAATCTAAGATAGGTCTTGAGAAATCACCATGAGGTTTCCACAGTCAAGACCCAAAAAAAAAAAAAAAAGTAACAGACATACAGCAAAAAAATTCATCAAGGCTCGAAGCATACTAAATCCTAGAACAATAGTTTGTAGAATATAAGCAACGGAACAACTTAATTTTCCCCAATTTTCTCTCTTCTCTTAAAACATAAGTTGATCATTAACACCTCCAACATATAATTAATTGATTGGTGAGTAGTGACTTTGTAACAATCCTTGCACTAATCACTTGTGCAGCTGTTGGCGGTCTATAGATCTCTTGAATCCCAGTCCAAGAATCCAAACACATACCTAACTGACAGTTGGCTTATTTAGAATCCGTCATGCTTGATACCCTTTGTTTATGCGCATGAGATTTCATGGACATCTAATTTAACAAATAAAAGAAATAATCATGCGTTTGTTTCTTCCTATTAAAGAAACGCAAGCTACCAATTCTTTTGAAGCTGGCTAAAGGTGCAAATACAGCAAGCGTTGTAGACAGAAGAACCAATGTACGCCCAGTCCACCAGTGTTCACCAAACCATCCTTCAAGGATACCGGCATGGTGATCTCCACTTGCTGATGTCCCAGAAAGCACGTCACCTTCATTAAAATTAATGCACATCGTTGTTAGATAAATTAATATACGGTACAGGCTAACACAGGAACAAAAGATCCAAACAGTAACACAACAAAAGATGTAGCGTCAAATGAGTGTTTCATCGTGTTGAAATCAAGTACAAGACATAGTTGGGATTCGGTTTTGAAGCAACGGTTTTTAGAACTCTGTGTAAATTCTACAGGCATGATAAAAATGGACAGCCATATATCCATGTAAATATGAGTAAAAGGTCAATTGCTCTTACCTATTATAATCATGTACACAATCAGCATACCGATGTTGTTGACTACAATACAGATCTGCACCAGAGCTCTTCCATACTTTCCAAAGGCATCTCCCATTAGTCCTCCATAAGATACCACCTTCCCTGCCCTGGTAAACCTGAGCAAAAGCTCAATCGACTTCTCAGTCAAGAAAGCCATGAAGATTATCGCAGCAATCCCAGCCACCATCCCCAGTTGTCTCAAGGTTGCCGGCAAAGCCATGATCCCCGCACCAACAATTGTGGTTGATAAGTTGAAAACAGCCCCAGAAAATGAGGCCCCATCAAAATCATCAAACCCAGCATTTTCCTCTTTACTTTTGGGTAATAAGGGTGCTTTCTCATCAACAATTGCTTTGCTCTTTCGTGATTTCTTCTTCTCTGTTTTAGGTGCATCCCCTCTGATAGTCATTTTCAGCAGAACAGGAGCTCAAGTTTTGGAAACTTTAGAACAGCTCAACAACTCTGTGGTACAAAAATGGTCAGTTTTGAATTTTCTTCAAGCAATTAATTCAGTTCGATTTGCGAGCCCAGTGATCCAAACCTGTTAAACTCAAAGTATTGAGGAGATTCAAGCTTGACCGCTATGTACAGCCTTGAGATAGATGAATCTCAGGTGGTCAAATCTTGAACAACAGCCCGAAAACCAATGAAGCGGCAAGAGAAAGGTGGAAGACAGAATCCAGAAAACGAAACAAGACAAGGTTGAAACCTTAAAACCAATTATGCAACTAGCGAAGTGGGATGAAAAGCCGGATCTTTCTTACAAAAACAAGAATAAAATCCAGCGAATTCACATAAACTGTAAGTGGTATCCCAGAAAGAAAGAAAAGCAAAATCTATGCTTCGGACTCGAAAGTTGAAAATCCGAGACGCGAACGATGTACCGAACAATGAGATGACAAGAAAAAGCTGGCGGCCGAGAAGAAAAGTGAATCCAAGCCTTACAAGTTGGGAGCCAATAAGCTTAATTTATAGACAAATCAGAAAGACACAAGCACACGCAAAATTGAAAAATACAAAAATGTACGTTGCTGCAGCGTATCAAACAACTATTAAAGATACGAATTGACTGGATCAAATTTATGAATGAGAGCCAATAATAAGGATGATGACAAAGACTAATTTTCAAAAGTTAATTTGGGGGCAAATGATAAACTTTGGAAATTTACAGGAGAGTCTGAGTTGGAATTTACGGTTAGGAGTAGCTTTTAACCCTACAGCGAAGGAAGCAGGTGAGAAGTGGACGCCGAAGCCTGGAACAGCATGGCAGTAAGGCATGGGCCCCCATGGCCACAAGTTGCCGAAGCCGTAATGCGCAAAAACAAACAAGATAGCACAAGATATTTTCGAGTATCCCGATGCCTAAGCTGTCCCAGATCGGAATCAAGCGCACCGCTGCAAATGGCTTTGGCTTCGAC